CCCTTCCTCTCACGCCGTGTGCCCTCCACCCTGCTGCACCCAGCCAGAGCCTTCCTTCTGTAAGCCTTGCTCCACACCACCTGGGAAGAAGCATGCCTTCCATGCCCAGTCAGGGATTGGTGCTGCCCTCCTAACATCTCCCCTGGCTGTAACAAGGGGAAATGTTCTTTTCTTTTGCCCATCGCCCCTCCTTGAGGACTGTATGGGAAGGAAATGCCCTTCTGCTCCTCTACCAGGCACTGGGTAAGTACCGCTTGGCGGAATAAACAACCCCTGCTCCACCGGCACCCTGGGCCTGACTCTGCTCAGGGAGAACTGGGTGGAGATCCCTGCAAGAGCAGGGCTCTTACTGCTCCTCCACTGGCAGCGTGTCAACGCATCCAACAGGGTCTCCTGTGCAAGTCCACTCTCTTATGATGAATTTTCTATTTAGTTCCACTGTGATGGGTGTGAATAGACAATGACTTCCACAAGCTCAGTGTACAGGCTTGAGGCTCTGCTGTAGGAGAGATCTGTGAACGGGAGAAGCGGCAGTGTCCGCCTTCCCCGCGAGGGCAGAGCTGCTAGGAGTCCCACAAACTGGTGGCCTGACAGGATGCTCCCCAACTCCCAGCGCCTCTCAGATAACAGCTCTCCATGTTGTTTCCATCACAACAATAAAGACTCAACAAATTATGTTCTTATTAGTTTGCATCCACAGAGCACTGTCTCACCTGTGGAAGAGCCTCTGATGTATACTAGTAAATTTGGCTAAAAACCAAAAATTCAGGTTCATGTCATTGCTTTCCAGGAGCGATTTAGCTTCCTGTACACAGGCTTCTTGAACAGGAGGAGACGGGATTCTGCAAGACAAGTTACTAGGATCTTCTCCCTGCTATCCACCCAGAACTCTACAGCATCCTAGTTTTTCTTTTTTAACAATGAAAGGGCATGGGTTGGGAGGGGACGGCACAGGGAGGGGGTTAATCATGAGGCTCAGCTCTGACTACTGTCTGGGTTCAGTTTCACCCCTCACTCACCCACAATGGCAACTTGCACCAAGAACTTCACTTGGGTACTGATTCTACGGTGTTGTCAACCAGGCATTACCTGAACGACAGATGACCAGATGTGAAAATCCTGTTGTTTAATCTATCACCAATACCACACACAGTAGGAGGGCACAAACCCTGGGTTTAATCCAAGAGGTCACATTTCCTGTTCCCCACAATGCCTGTTTCTGGAAGGGCACGTGCACGGCAGGAGCAGGCATAGCAGTTGTGTGTGCAACAGATCCACAGCAGGGCTCCAGTCCAGTGTGGAGCCAGACTCTCCAACAGCCCTAAGGTCTGCACATACACTGAGACACGTACAGAGAGAGACAACAGCATGGCAAACACATACCAGGAAGCCACGGAGACAAAAAGAGATGGAATCAGACAGTTTTCTTGTGCTTTTCTCTGCCTCCGAGGAAGGAAGGAAAGTGGGGACAGAGGAGGGAGGAAGGGCAGAGGTGATGGGGTCTCAGAGGGGCAGTGAGAACAGAAAGGGTGATACAGGAAAGTAAGTGGCCCGGTCCTTCTGGCTCAGTAGTTGAGCATCAACCTATGAACCAGGAGGTCACAGTTCGATTCCTGGTCAGGGCACATCTTGGGTTGCAGCCTCCATCCCTAGTGGGAGGTGTGCAGGAGGCAGCCAATCAATGATCCTCTATCATCATTGATGTTTCTGTCTCTCTCTTCCTCTCTGAAATCAATAAACAACAACAAAAACAGAAAGGAAGGTGAACGATGAAAACCTCCCTCAATAAATCACCTGCCTTTCTGAAGTGCTGTCACATACACTGTCACACTGTACACTAACCACATCCTCCTGAAAAAAGAAGATAGTTAACTATCTTATAGTTGGAAAAGAGAAACTTTAAAATCCTTAGCATCTACTTTCAAACTCAGCCTGCAGTCACTGGGAACATCCCTCCAAAGCCTGCTGCTTGCCATGTGCTGAAATGTCAGCGCTGTACCCTTGAAAGACAAGGTCTGTACCCACGAAGTGCTCACCACACGGTGCTGGAGGTGGTACCACATACAACAGAGCGAGGCACAAGTCAGCAGACCCCTCCCCATGCACGGCATTCGGGATGGCAGGACAGCCATCCTCAATGCAATGGCCCAGTACCCAAAACAGCACCTGGCACACTGGGGACTTCATCTCTCTATATAAAGAGCCAGGGGCCATTGCCACCGAACAGATGACCGAATGAACTACCAAACAGACTGAGTGTGGCGACAAGGCCGGCAGGGGGGGCAATGAGGGACGATAAAACGACTGAGCAGCAGGCTGCGTGGGGTGATCAGGCCTTCAGGGGGGGGAGGGACAACCAAATGACTGAATAGCAGGCTGGGTGGGGCAACCATATTGGGAGGGGGGTTAGTGAGGGACAACCAAACGACTGAACAGCAGGCTGTGTGGGGCGACCAGGGCAGCAGTAG